TCAAGTTCAAGGCCAGCCCCAGCACTTAGTGAGGCCCTAGGCAATTCAGTAAGACCCTGTCTCTAAGTAAAATATTTTTCAAAAGTCTCGGGATGTGACTCAGTGGTTAAGTACCCCCCCCCCAAAAAAAGGAGTGTGTCCATCTACAAGTAAAAAAAATATATATTTTTAAATAAATCATTGTCCAGTGGGGTGGCATACACCTAGAATTCCAGTAGCTCTGGAGGCTAAGACAGGAGGATCACAAGTTCAAAGCCAGCCTCAGCAACAAACAGTGAGGCGTGAGACTCTGTCCCTGATACACTAAATAAATAAAGAAAAATTTAAAAAGTATTTACACATTTTAAAACTGAGTTACCAATCTTCCTATTGAGTTATAAGTCTTCTTTCTATGTTCTAGACACAAACTATATATTATATATGATTTTTTTCAAATATTTTAATCTTTATGACCAGTTAATCACTTAAAAAGGATTATCCCCTTCCTATTGAATTGTCCTGGCACATTTGTTGAAAATCAATTGCCCACACCCCCTCTAAAAAAGGAAATTATTATGAAAATAAATTATTACCATAATTGCAAAGTTTATTTCTGAACTCTCAATTCTGTTCCATTAGTCTATGTTTTTCCTTATGTTAATAGTATATTTTTAGATTACTGAGACTTTATATTGTTTTCCTTTTTAGAGAGGGAATTTTTAAAATACTTTTTTAGTTTTCGGTGGACACAACATCTTTATTTCTTTTATTTTTATATGGTGCTGAGGACCGAACCCAGCGACCCGAGCATGCCAAGCGAGCGCGTTTCCGCTTGAGCCACATCCCCAGCCCTGTATTGTTTTTCATTATGTAAGGTTTTCTTTATTTAAAAGATCATTCACAAAATACCATATCCATTTACTTTTTGTCATATAGCTGAATGTGTTAAGTGTTCTGAATTCCATTCTTTTCTTATATTTAATGAATCTGTTTTATTCTTTACCTTTTCATATTTAGGGTTTAAGTATTAGTGTGACAAAAATGCTATCTCAGAAGCAGAGAAAATAACAGGCAGAAGGAAGGAGAGAGAGTTCAGTATATTGCTGAGGTAACCCAGGACTACAACTATCTGGGAACCACCACCTAACAATGCTACAGTGAAGGCCAGGCAGCCCTCGGGCCCCAGCCTTCCTGGCCTCTCTCCTCCCCAGAGAAGCTAAAAAATATTCCCTCTGTTCATACGCTGATGTTCAATCTCAAATGCTGTTGTCTAACACCTTACCCCCAGGAGAGTGCTAAACATTGAACATGGAACAATACTGTCCCAAAGACTCAACAGCAAACCTAGACATTTATAATTACCTACAGTTATTACAGGTTTTGACAGTTATGCAAATGAAGTACTGGATTCTAGGCCCATTTTCACTCTGAATTCACAGGAAGGTGGGAAGCAGAGCCCCTCAACATGTTATTTCTACTAGGGAACAGATGGACACATAGCAGAAGGGGAAACACCACGCGGAGGCGGGGAAAAGTCAGCACATTGTGACACTAGCTCAGCTTAGTGCCTCCACCTGGAGGAAACGTGTTAGTTGGCTGCCAGCTCCACCAGGGCCAGGAAGGACTACTCTGCCATGGTCTTGAAGGAGCGGTAGCAAAACTGCGTGAACACACAGAGCGCTATCACCTCGGCGCCCACCAGCCTTCCCACTACTCCTCTTTGGGCTTCCGTTGTGATGAGCCTCTTTGGACTGGACAGTCCATCTGGGAAGGGTGATGGTGAGACTTTTAAATAGGAACAGGAAGGAATCTGCAGGGTTCAGCAATTTTTTTCCCTTGTTTTAAAACAAGGTGCCAATTTTTGTTTTGGATGCTGGTAAATCTGCCAACTACTTCCGCTCTATTCCGGAAGCCATAGCAACACGGAACTCAGCGCGCAGGTCGGAAGAGAAGCACTGAGGCAACACGGAACTCAGCGCGCAGGTCGGAAGAGTATCACCGAGACAAATCAAAGGGAGTGCCCGGAGTCTGGCCAGTGTGTCTAAAGTAAAAAGAAGAAGCGAAGGAAAACTGTGAACCGGCCGCTTGGTGGACACTCCAACATGGCGCGGCCGTCCTCCTGCAGATCCCCGTGTGCTGGGAGGAAAACCAGGCGGGCTGGGGCTCAGTGGTAGAGCACTTGGCTAGCACGCGTGAAGCACTGGGTTCGATCCCCAGCACCATAGTAAAAAAAAAAACAAAACCTAATAAACAAAATAAAGGCATTAGGTCCATCTACAACTAAAGAAATGTAACATATATATATATAAAACCAATGAAAACAAGGCGCAGGGAGAAAGGCCAGGAGGGGGATGGTAAGAATGGGGTGGGGAGGGGCACCTAACAGACACCAGAGAGAGCGAAGCCAAGATGTTCACAGCCCATAGGCGTCACCAGCTCCAGGTTTCCGTTTTAAGAACCACCACCTCAGGTGCGGGAATGGTGACTGCGGGGTGGCCGGTCCAGGCCACCAGGCTGTGGTCCTACTCTAACCACCCCCACAGCCCCCTTTCCTCCTGACCACCTCCCTCTCTGGGCTTGGCTACCCTGAGGATGGCGGAGTTGGGACTGGACGCTTAGATTGAGGGGTATCGCGGTATCTGCGAGCTTTCCTCTTCCGTTGGTTCTCTGAAATCCACGTTGGAATTTGAAGAGGGTCATCTCTGAAGCGGCTCCCCATTGGAGGGCCCGCTCACGGGTCACACGGGCCTTCACGTCATCCCTGAAACCGGAATTGATGTCATCCCGGGAATCCCAGCCATCTCCAGATTACGGAGAGCCACCCATTCCTCTGCCATCTGGTCCACCTTTCCTAAATCCAAAGCCATCTTTACCTTGTTTCTGCTTTCTGCATTGCCCACATGAAGTGACGGAGCACCCACCAGTGCGCTGCGGTACGTGAGGACACGGACTCGCGACATCGAATTCTACGTAGCAGAATCCTTTAAATCTGCGTGTCTCCCACTAGCCACATTCCCTATGCCGAGATCCTTAGAGATAGCATCTATTGTCACCCTAAACTGTCTTAAAAGGTAATTTTCTACATGTGCTGGGTAGGAGGACTCCGTGGGCAGCTCCTTCTTAGCTTCAGCAACCATGGCCACGCGAATTGCCGCAGGACCCTGTGCGCCGCGGGAGCTGCCTTAGGCCGGAACGTCGTAGGTATTTAAGTCTATTAAGCTTTGAAATCGAGGTATGACTCCTCTTTTGTTCTGTGTGTGTGTGTGGGTGTGTGGATGGGTGGGTGCGTGGGGTGCTGGGAATCAAATTCAGGGCCCCTTGCATGCTAGGCAGCTCTCTTCCTCTTTTTTAAAAAAACAGCTTTGCCTACTCTCGGTCTTTTGCATAACCATATGATTTTAGGGTTAGTTTACTGTTTTCTGAAGGAAAAAAAACCTGGGAGTTTGATGGGATGGCGCTTAATCCTGAAATCATTTTAGATAGTATAGCCATCTTTAAAAAAAAATACATATATATATATATTACACACACACACACATACATATATATATATATATGGCGAGGGCCTGGGGATTGACCGGGGAATTCTACCACAGAACCACATCCCCAGCTCTATTTTGTATTATTATTATTTTTTAATGTTTAGTTTTTTAGTTGCACACAATACCTTTATTTTGTTTATTTATTTTTATGTGGTGTCAGGATCCAACCCAGGGCTTCGCGCAAGCTAGGCAAGCGCTCTACCCCTGAGCCACAACCCCAGCCCCTGTATTTTGTATTTTATTTAGAGACAGGGTCTCACTTAGTTGCTTAGTACCTTGCTTTTGCTGCGGCTGGCTTTGAACTTGCGATCCTCCTGCCTTAGCCTCCCAAGCCACTAAGAATTCAAGTACTGCCATCTTAATGATATTGTTATTCACTCTTTCAATAGAGAATGGGGGATGTCTAAACATTTATTTAGCTCTTTAATTTAATTCTAGAAATTTTTTATGGTAGTTTGGTTTATATATCTTGCATTTAATTTTTTCCTTTAGATATGCACATGAAAATTATTTTAATTTCATTTTTACATTGTTCCTTGCTAATACACAGAAATACAATTAGTATTTATATATAGATCTTGTATGTGACCTTTTTGACTTCTTCTAGTATGTCTTATATTAGTTAAATATTTTCTACATACATGATTATGAGTCCATATAATATAGACAATTTCAGTTCTTTCTTCCCAGTCTGGATGATTTAATTTTTTTTTTCCCCCAAAAGTCTGAAGAAACTTGGTAGGAGCAAACATTCTCATTCCTGAACCTAAAGGTAAAGCATAATGTTAAAGGAAATTCCCTTTTATTCAGACCTGAGATTTTCCCCCCATGAATAAATGTTAACCTTACGCCAAATACTTTTTTATAAAATAAGATATTTTTAAAAAGAAGATGCAAATCAGACAAGAAATAACAAAGAAATAAAACTCAGTTGAAGCCGGACACTGTGACACACACCCACTTTTTTGGTAGTTACTGAGATGATAATGTGGTTTTGCTTTTTCTGTTGACAGAATTGATTTTTAGGGTGTTAAACCAATCCTATATTGCAGGGATAAATCCCATTGGTCATTTTTTTTTTTTTGTGCCGCTCAATGTAACTTCCTAAAAATATGGAGGATGTTTGTCTTATATTCACAAGGGATATTGGTCTATGGTATTCTTTTCTTCTACTGTCTTTATCAGGCTTTTGTAGCTGTGTAATAATGGATTCACAGATGGTTTGGAAGTATTTACTCCCCTATTTTGTATAAAAGTCTGTGAAAGATGAGAATTATTTCTTAAATGTTTGGTAAGATTCCACAGTGCAGCTATATAAGTCTGAAGTTAACTTAGCAAGAAAGTTTTAAATTAAAAATCCATTTCTTAAAAAAGTCCATTCAGATTTTGTATTTTTTTAATAATTTCTTCTTCTTTTTGGTAATTTGTATCCTTCTAGAAATTTACTTGCATCATCTAATAGTTCTCTAATCTATTTGCACTCATTTATTTCTTGTATGATTTGCATACTTATTTTTAAGTATTTTATTTTATAATAGTTGTACATGGACAAAATACTTTATTTTATTTTATTTATTTTTATGTGGTGCTTAGGATGGAACCCAGTGTCTCATACATGCAAGGCAAATGTTCTACCACTAAGCTATACCCCAGTGCCTAGTTGCAGTCATTTATAATATACCATTATAATCTATACTTTTTATTTTATAAGATATTTAGAGATGAGAAATGTTCCCTTTTTTATTCCTGTCTTTAGTACTTTGCTTGTTTTTCTTGGTCAGTCTAGCTAATATCCTAATATCCCTTATAAATATAGACACAAAAATCCTCAACATTTTTAGGAAGTTATGTTGAGCTAAACATTTGTCCATTCTGTTGATTATTCAAGAAACTTAAGTTTTGCTTTAATTGGTTTTCTTCTACTCTTTGTGTCACTTTTGCTTCAATCATTTGTTTCCACTTTATTTTGCTCTTTGTGCTAGTGTTCGTGTTATTATATCTTTGTGTTATAAGCACCAAAATATAATTTTGTAATTGTTTGGTGCAATATACTTTTAAAAACTCAGTTGAAGCAGGACACTGTGGTGCACACCCATAATCCAGTGCCTGGGGAGGCCAAGGCAGGAATTCAAAGCCAGCCTCAGCAAAAGGGAGGCACTAAGAAACTCAATGAGACCGTGTCTCAAAAAAAAAAAAAAAATAGGGCTGGGGATGTGGCTAAGTGGTTGAGTGCCCCTGAGTTCAATCCCAGTACCTGCTTCCTCGACCCCAGATAAAAACAACCTCAGTTGAAGGAAAAGAGTAAAAAGTATTTTTTATATTTATCGACATAATTATCTTTACAGGCATATCTTGTCTGTATTCCTGTAATTACTTTGTACTGATTTCCTATTGCTAATAATAACAAATTAAAATAACAGAAATATACTCTCATACAGACCTGCTCTTAGATGGGTCTCACCAGGTGATATTGTTTCACCACCTTTTTTGGCTTCTAGATACCATCTCATTCCTTGGCTAATGGTCTCACATCACAACTTCAGTTCTCCTCTGCTTCTAGTATCATCTGTTTGCCTTTCTCTTTTGTTCTTACTACCTTACTGTGTCTTTTTCTTTCCACAACCTGTTTATCACTTAAGATAAACATTCACATGTTCCAAGAGTAGACATTCCTTGGGGTAAGGTATTTTTTTCATCCGTCTTGTTTTAACTTCCTTTAAGTCTGAAGAACTTCCTTTAGAATTTCTTGTTAGGCAGTTCTGCTAGTAATTCACTCAGCCTTTGTCCATCTCCAAAAAGTTTTGAAAGATGGTTTTCCTTTAAAAACTCCTTATTGAGTTTTCTCTTTAGCACTTTTAACAGGTCATCCCACTGCCTTCCTTAGCCAGGTGAAGGGAAAACATGTATAATCTGAGCTACTCTGGAGCCAGAGGCAGTCTGGGCAATGCAGCAAGATCCTGATTCAAAAAGGAGGACAGGTTTAATTTCACTGCTTCTCTGACAGGGGATGAGTTTTTCATCAAAATTATGTTTTTAGCCATTATTCATTTTTTTTCAGCCTTTTTCCTCTCTCCTCTCTTTATGGTATGGTCATTTTATATATATATGTATACACACACACACACTTAATAGCATTCCACATATACATTTCTCTGAGACTTCTTAAGAGTCTTTTTTTTTTTTTTTATAGGCTCGAGTGTAGGCTGTATTGGTCCATTCTCAAGTTTATTGGTTTTTTTCCTCTACAAATTTAAATCTTCTGTTGAGACCCTCTAGTAAATTTTTCCTTTTAATCATCATACCTTTTAAATTCTTTTTTAAAGATATGATTGAATAAAGCAAGAATTGGGGGAGAAGGAACAAACAAAAGTTCCTTTCAGATGAATTCCAATTGATGTATGCAGAAGGAATGAGGAAGATAGAAAATCATGATGAATGCATCCCAGTAATAATTGGTACAGGCAGGGCATCTAGGCATGAGAAAATATTAGATAAATCTAAACTAATGAATATTGTACAAAATACCTGACAATGCCAAATAAAATTTATACATAATTTTTTTCTGTCTTCTAGAAGTTTCAGAGTTTTATGTTTTAACATTAAAGTCTATAATCCATTTTGAGATTATTATTGTTGCTATTATTATTTTGATAAAGGGTGAAGAGTATGCCAAGATTTTTGTTTTCTTTTTGCATATGGATGTTCGATTATTGTAGCACTGTTTGTTGAAAAGACTGTCCTTTTCCCACTGAATTACCTTTTTATCAGTGTTAAAAATTACATGTGAGTCTATTTCTGGGTTCTCCAGACCTTTTTTTTTTTTTTTGGTACCTGGGATTGGGGATTGAACTCAGGGGTACCCAAACACTGAGCCACATCCCCAGCTTTATTTTTGTATTTTATTTAGAGACAGGGTCTCACTGAGTTGCTTAGTACTTTGCTTTTGCGGAGCTGAGGCTGGCTTAGAAGTTACCATCCTCCTGCTCAGCTTCCCCAGCTGCTGAGATGACAGGCATGTGCCACTGCACCTGGCTCCAGCCTATTCTTTTAATCTGGAATTATTCTCTCACCTGTACTACACTGCGTTGATGTTTTAGCTTTCTGTTATGATAACAAATACCTGAGATAATTGACTTATAAAATGCTTATTTTGGCTCGAAGTTTGGGAGGTTTCAGTCCATGGTCAGTTGGGCTCATTGTTTGGGGGCCTCTGGTGAGGCATATTATGGTGGGGCATGTGGTAGAGCAAAGCTGCTCCCTCATGAGGAGGATGCAAAAAGAGGAGGAAGGGTTTGGGGATTCAGCAGTCCCCTTTGAGGACACAGTCCCAATGACATAAAACCTCCCATTAGGCCCCACCTTTTAAGTTTCCACTATTTCCCAATAGTGACAAGCTTTGGCCTAGCCTTTAACACAGGGGCCCTTGAGGGACAAACCAGATCAAAACTACAGCACTTGATTATTGTGGTTTTATATTGTCTTGTTATAGAGTAAAGTGAAGCCCCCAGAATCCTTTTAGAATTAAATTAGCTATTTTGGTTCTTTTTCCTTTCCATAAAATTTTAGAATCAGCTTGTCGATATCTATGAAAAAGCTGTCATTTTGGATGGGACTGACCTGAATGTATAGATCAAATAGATATTGTATTAGTATTAATTTTCTAATTCATGTACAAAAATCTATGTATGGATACATGAGTACATTTATTTCTTTCATCAGTGTTTGTCGTTTTCTAATTTTGTTAGATTTATCTCTGAATACTTCACTTTTTGGATTGTTAATAAAAATGGTACCTTTTTTTTTTTGGTACCAGGGATTGAACACAGGGCACTTAACAACTGAGCCACATCCCCAGCCCTTAAAAACAAAAAAAACAAACCAAAAAAAAAAATTTTTTTTTTTTTTTTTAGTTTTTGATGGCTTTTATTTTACTTATTTTCTCACTTATGTGTGCTGAGAATTGAACCCAGTGCCCCATACTTTCTAGGCAAGCACTCTGTGAGCCACAACCTCAGCCCCATCCTTTTTTTTATTATTATTATTATTTTTTATGTAAAGTTAAGATCTTGCTGAGTTGCTTAGGGCCTCACTAAGTTGCTGAGGCTGGCTTTGAACTCACATTTCTCCTGCCTCAGCCTCCCAAGCTGCTGGGATTATAAGCACGGGCCATGGTGCCCGGCTGAAAATGGTACATTTAAAAAATAACTTTTAAATGTTCATTACTGGTATATAGAAAAATGATAACCTTTATATATGAGCTTGTAGCCTGTGCTCCTGCTAAACCCACTTATTAATCCTAAGAGTTCTTTTGGTACTTGAGGTTTTCTATATTTACAATCATGACTAATAATACTAATATATGAATTTTAGAGCTAAGTTTGGAAAAATATAGTTCTTTTTTATATTTATTTTTTAGTTGGATACAATAGTTTTATTTTATTTTTTTATGTGGTGCTGAGGATCAAACCCTCAAATGTGCTAGGCAAGTGCTATACCTCTGAGCCACAAATCCAACCTGAGAATGTAGTTCTCTTAGGAAAAAAGATAACTTAGAGGCTAAGACAGAAGGATTGTGAGTTCAGAGCCAGCCTCAGCAAAAGCAAGGCGCTAAGCAACTCAGTGAGACCCTGTCTCTAAGTAAAATACAAAATAGGGCTGGGGATGTGGCTCAGTGGTTGAATATCTCTGAGTTCAATTCCTGGTACCAGGAAAAAAAAAAAAAATTCTGATGTGATTCCCAACATGGTGGTGAGTTCTTGTAGTTTCAGCTACTTAGGAGGCTAAGGCAGGAGGTATGCTTGAGGTTAGGAGTTCAAGGCCAGCCTGGGCAACATAGCAAGACAAGCATCAGGGAAAAAAAAATTCTGATGTGATAAAATGGCACAGAAGGAGTTAATGAAGGCTTGCAATCCTTCTGTCTCAGTCTCCTTGTCCAGGGGTACCACAGTGCCCAACATAAAGGCTTAATCTTATTACCCTGTCTGAAACAGGGTATGTGAATAATTATAGCTATTACTATCTTATTCTTTTTTAAAATATTTTTTGATATCTTTATTTTGTTTATTTTTATGTAGTGCTGAGGATCGAACCCAGGGCCTCACATGTGCAAAGCAAGTGCTCTGCCACTGAGTCACAACCCCAGCTCCTTATTCTTTTTATTTCTATTATTAAAACTCTGTTATTTGAATTGTCTTTTTAAAGAAATACTTATTGGGTCAGGGATGTGGCTCAAGTGGTAGCGTGCTTGCCTGGCATTCATGCGGTCTGGGTTCAATCCTCAGCACCACAAACAAAGATGATGTGTCTGCCGAAAACTAAAAAATAAATATTAAAATTCTCTCTCTCTCTAAAACAAACAAATTTATTTTTTAGTCAAAAGTGGACACTATTATCTTTATTATGCTAGGTGAGTGTTCTATATCTCTAAGCCACAACCCCAAGCCCTTTTGAGTTGTTTTTATTAGAGAGTTTTTGTAAGATACTTGGATTTCAGAGATTATATTGCTAAAATCTGAGAGTATTTGTTTTTTTCTTTTATCCTAGGGACTGAACCTGGAGTGCTTTATCACTGAGCTACATCTGCAGTCCTTTTATTTTGAGACAGGGTCTCATAAGCTGTCCAGGTTGGCCTTGAATTTGTGATCCTCCTGCCTCAGCCAAGTCACTGGAATTACAGGTGTGTGCCACCACACTTAACTTGTGAGAATAATTGGAAATCTCAAAAACATGAAGTAATTTTGAAAGGCCATTCTATTAATTGCTATCTTGGCATTGACATCTCTAACATCTAAAAAGGTTTTAGATATTTGGAAGACTTTTCAAATCAAATTAGGATTATTGGTGTTTCCTTTTCATATGCACAAAGGTAAAATAAAACTTACAACTAACTTGCAGTCCTCTGTCTCCTTTGAATTAATTAATGTGATTCTTTCTATATGCTTTTTGCTCATTAAGACAACTAGAGTAAACAGGTCCACAATATGGGTGCAAATAACCAGGAAATCAAGGAACTGAAATAAGCATCTCACTGTTCTTGAACATTTTTGCTATATCACATTAATGTAATGAGACACTTCTTGTATCAATATTATCTGTGAATGTTCAAAATTTAGGTAGGCAAAAATTTCAGTCACAGTTAAGTGAATGTATGCAAAACAAACATTAATGTGTTTGGTACCAAATCAATCAAAATGGCTTTACTTTATCTTTTCTCCATTAAACAACCAGCTTAGTTATAATTCTTGAAAAAAATCCTTCAAATTACAATATGAATAATGTGACTCATGTAATTTAACAATTTCCTGAGAAACAGTTCATATTATTAATATGGTTTAACATTATATACAAATCTTTTCCTATTACTGTATCTTTAAAAATTTTTATTAGCTGCATACTATTGTATAACACTTTGATTAACTTAACATTTTCCATATTAAGAACAAATTTTACACATAAAATATATATATATATATACACACACACACACAACAGATACATTCAACAATCTGTACAATTTCAAGGGGTTGTTGTTTTCTAGAAACATAAATTTAAAAAAATGCTCTTCTACAGGACTTCAACATTTGCTTCATTTTCTTACCCAAGAGTGCCAACAAAAATAATTTCACATTGTTTTTTTTTTCCTTGATGTACAGAAAGCTGAGGGTGAAAGACCCAGAATCATTACATCAGAATAACAGGTAGTGTTTTCTGAGGATTCAGAATGTATCGGACATAGTCTGAAGGACTTTCCACTATTAACTCATCTAACCCTCATAATTCTATGAGGTAGGTGCGATTATTATTATTAGCATTTTCACAGTTAAGAAACTATAGCAAAGAAAGGTTGAATAAACTACCACTCAAGCTCACCTATCTAGCCAGCATTCTTGCCCAGGAGTTACCCAAAGTATTCCATCCATACTCTTAGCCATTATACCATACTGATGCTTACATATACCACACATAAGTGTATTCTAAAACAAACTCGTACTGCCTGATTAGTAGTAGTAAAAAAAAAGAAAAGAAAAGAAAAAAAAAAAAAAACCAAAAACCTCACTATGGATTGCTGCTAGAGTAGGTTGGATGTCTACCTTTGTTTAAACAGACCTCTGCCCAAACCACCAAATTCTTAAATCAAAAAGTCTCAAAAGCAAAGTCTTTGTCACTGTTAAAATTTATCAAATCTTCCCCTTACATTGCTTTCTAATTCAAGCCTGTGCAGAAAATTAAGAATATATTTAAGAGTATTTTTTCTTCTTTAATGAATCACCGTCTAAAATAATGGTCTAATATTATTTTCTAGAGTTGTATTTCTATAACATATGAATGCTTAATAACAGAGTTAACAGGAAAAACTGAAAGATTTGCAAAATGGATATGTACACAATTAATCTGAAAGTCATGGTGGTTCCAAGAAAGAGCGGGATCTACCCCTCCAACGTCTGATTTCACTGTGGAAGGAAAACTTAGGATTAAGGGATATATTACATTTCAGAAGGATTCCAGACGTTTCCATGTTCTGAAAAACAAAAAGCGATTTAATGGAACAAAAAGTAACCAAAACCTCACCTTGAATTTAATTTTCAGATACGCAGCAATGATTCTCCTCTCCTCCTCACCAGCCTTCTTTTGAAAATGGCAGGCCCAGCGGGTGGGGAAAAAATGGATGCGTGAGCTATCTGACCTTTTTTGAACCCAGTCTCTGCCGCCATCCCGTCACGACTCCCACACGCATGCGCAGAGGAACACTAGCCTGTTTGCTTTTCCGGAGGTTAGCCATGCTGAAAACCGCCCTTAACCTTTTCCATGGAACTGTCCCTACGTGCCCCAGCCGCCCGCCCTGAGTCCAAGCCCCAACATTTCGTTGAGGACCTTCATTCTGGGGTTCCACCTTCAACTTTCCCTTTAGGAATTTTTTCTGCAGCTGATTTCAGAGCAAAGGATAGGAATCAATCTCGCATTTGGATGTGAGCTGCGCCACAAAAGGGCCCTTGCATCAAATTACTGCCACAGGAGCTCAACCCAGCGCCAACCCGCGCCAACCCGCGCCAATCCGCGCCAATCCGTTAGAAACCAATAGAAACGTAAAGTGGCCACAGGCTCCATCCACACAAGCCAAGCCAAGCCCAGAGCCCTCCCCTCCTCGTTCCCAGTCAACAGACTCGACCTGCCCCTGCCCGCACTCATTCCTCTCAGAAAATCCACGGCCGCAGAGATGCGGGGCTCACCATGGTAAACAGTGGAGGACTCCAGGATAGCGGTTCCGGAGGTCCGCAACGTGCGAGTCTCAGTTCAGGTCCAAGACCGAAGCCTTTTCAGAGCCTCCTCAGCGCAGCGAGAGGGCGGCTGACGACCGAAGACGCAGGCAGGCTGACTCAGACCTGCAAGATCAACTCGTGACTGATGCTGCAGAATATAATAGGGGCCCGAAGCCTCTGGGAAATGTAGTTCAAGGCCGAGAAAAGTCATAGACCAAGGCTATTCTTCAGTCATAGGCTCCGCATCCAGGTTCTCCAGGGCCGTGCCGCAGAGGCTGCCGGGAATGTTGGTGCAACGTGGACCGCACACGCGCAATAGCGAATGCTCGCCCTTCCCGCGCCTCCCACGCTTCCCCAGGGACTGAGGGTTCTCTGCCTCAATCCTCGTGGTGAGGCCAACCCCAGGGTTGTGGGGTGCCAAGATTATTTAGTGAGACAGGGTGTTAAATAGTGTACCAAACCGAATGCATAAAGACTGGACTGCGTTGCTTTTTTGTGTGTGTCCGTCCGTGTCCCCCCCTCCCCCGCCCCCGCGTGCGTGGGGCTCTTCTTGCGTACGATTGTTTGAATGATGCACTGCAATGACTGCGCAGAGAATGTTGCGCAGTTAAGCTCAATTCTGACGCAGATGTAGAGTCTGCGGTTATGGCTTAGTTTGACGCATACCTGAGGCTATATTTATCTGTGAATGCCTGGGGATGGTTTTGATAGCCTGCACTTTTGGTTGTTTTCCAGGGGGACTGTGCTTGTGGATTACTGTGTAACTATAAGAAGCTGGGTGTGGCGTTCTGATGAACTCCATGTTGGTTAGGTTGCCTTCAGGACTCTGGCAGTTAGAGAAAGAAAATAATTTGAAGCAAAATTGGAAAGGAGGAAGTAAGGTCTGTCATCACTGTCAAGGTGTTAGGATACCAAAATGTTGAAATAAGCAGGATTCTGTAGAAACAAGTGTTTTACTGTTTTTTCCTTAAATATGAAATCTTAGATGAATCCGACAAGTTCCTAAGTCACTAGTAGATAATAAGAAATCTTAACTCCTTAGTTAAGATAAGTCATTTTGGTGGTTAAAATCAAAGACGTCATGTTTAATGATGAGAAAACTTCAAGCTTCATTTAAAACAAGAAATTTGAACTTTCTCCTCTTTGCCAGACCCACTTTGAAATACAGCTATGTTACAGTGGTTTGGTTAAAGCAATAGTTTATGTTTATAAACGGAGTACATATTTTTTTGGCCTCAGGGCCAATTATATTTTCACAAATTTTCGCTTGACCTGGATTTAATTGGCTTGTATGTATATGGTGGGTTTTGTGTGTGTGTGTGTTCCTCTTACTGTCCCTTTCCAGGTATTACAACAAATATGTAAGACTCAGCGATAATTTTTCTGAAAGCTCAAATCTTATCCCATAACTTTTTTGTTCTTGCAGAATCTCTTTCACAGTCCTTATCATAGCCTATCTGGATTGTAGAATTGCTTTAAGGCTTCATTCGTCCCTTTCCCTGATTTGGATTTCTGTGTCCTAACTTGCTAATTTGACATATTTCTCATTACTACTGACTGCCTCTCTACAACAGCTCTCCTAAAATGCAGGGATTTGATGTAAATATTTTAAGTTGAAAGTTGTCTGAAAATATCTTTATTGCACTGGTAGTTTTTGCTGGAGTGAGAATTCTACAAATCAGAATTTAAAGTTATTACTTCATAATCTTGTCGCTGATGTTTATAAAAAGATTTGTCATCTGTTCCCTATTTGTGTGTAATCTTGTGTTCCCAACCCTACTGGAAATGTTAAATTATATTCCCAGTGTACTGAAATTTCATAATTTTGTGTCTGAGTGTGGATGTTTTTCAAGTTTTTCATGTGAATACCAGGCAAGCACTTTTAGTCTAGAAACTATTGTATTTATGAGCTGTTAAATTTTCTGTGAATTTTCCTTCCTCCTTCCTTCCTCTTTCTTGCTGAAATGTATATTATTTGATAGAAATTTTTCGTGGGTTGAGCCTTTAAATGTTTTTCTCCTATCTTCTCTCTTTTTAAAAAATATTTATTTATTTATGTATCTTTAGTTTTAGGTGGACACATTATTTTGGTTTTTTTTAATGTGGTGATGAGGATTGAACCTAGTGCCTCATGCATGCCTTGGCAGCACTCTACCACTGAGCCACAACCCCAGCCCCTCTCCTATTTTCTCTTTTATCTCTTTTTTTTAACTCAAGAATTTTTTTTTTGAAATTTTGTTAACTT